TATTTCAATTTAAAATATATTAAAGAAATAAAATGTATAAGAGCCAAGTCTTAAAAATAATTATCACTGGCTTCTTCTAGAGGTACATTAAACATAAAACACATATATTATTACATAAATTAAATCATTTAAAAAACAGTTTTTAGTATTCTATATTAGCATGCTAAGAAGTTATGTAATTATTTTAATAAAGGCAGAAATTTATAGGTCAAATTAAGTTTCTTATTCAAACTTTCAAATAAAAATTATAAAAGCTACTTCCCGAGTAACAAAATGAAACATCCTTAAAATGATAAAAAAATATGTTCACAAAAGTTAAATTGCTTAAATTTTACTTAATTGAAACAGAGAATATTTCCCTAGTCATGTTAGGACATGAAAAGATGTCTGCTCATGTGCCTGTTCTAATGGGAGCTCACCAAATCCAGCTGGACTGGGTTTGAATGAGCATGTGATCAAACTGGACTCTCTGATTGTGGCTGACAATGGGGCTGACTGAGAAGCCATTGATAAAGGCACTAGGACTTGTTTTTACGGCATGTTCTTACTTTTTGGGACCCTAGTCTATACGGATGTACAGCTCCCTAGGCCTGGATGTAGGGGGGAGGGCCTTGGACTTCCCACAGGGCAGGGTTCCCTACCCTCTCTCAAGCAGGGAGGGGAAGGGAGGAGTGGGTGTGGGGTAGCCAGAGGGGATTGAGAGGAGGGAAGGAAGTATAAATATTTGAATGGAAAAATAAAAAATAAATTTAAAAAAAGAAAATATGTCTACTCTTAGCATCTTAATTCAACATTATATTTTGCCTAGTAACATTAGTCGAGTAAGGGATATTAGAATTAGCTAACTAAAGAAGAACAAGTCAAATTATCTCCATTCATTCGTTGATCAGATAAAATATTTATTCTAGGTTATCTTGTAAAATGACAAAATCTAATTAATATCATTAGAAGTATGAATTAAAAATCAGTTTTATTCCATATAGAGTAAAATGGAATTCCTAAATTAAAAAAATTATAAAATTTTATTTATAAAATTATTAAAATTTTATTTATAAAATTTATAAAAGATTTATAAAAATATAAAAAAGTCAGGTAACTAGTAGTAAATTTATCAAAGTATATTATAAAACAGTGTTTAGTAAAATTGATGAATATTCTTGTACATGTTGTGACACACCAAGTTTACAAACTAGAAAAGTCATATTTTTAGATGCCATTGTTACCAAATAGATTTGCATGACATTAATTAATGTAATATTGTTTAAAATGCCATTAAACTCAGTTTTAATTATTTTTGTTTCAAAATTTTAATTTTAAATTATTCTCATTCTCTATCTCTGTTTCCTATCTGTGACTCTGTCTCTGTCTCTCTGTATCTCTACATACTGCGGCATATATGTGGAGGTGACAGGACCACTTTCAAGAGTTGGTTCTTTTCTTTTACCATGTGGGTCCTTTTATAACAAACTCAGCTAATCCACTGATCAGGCGTAGTGCCAACTGCATTCATTATTTGGGCTGTCTCACAGGTTTTTATTTTTGTTTTTGGATAGATCTTGACAAATTTCAATACCTGTGTTGGAAGACAAAGAACCAAACTAGGTAAAGCATTCTGTAACAAGAAGAAAATATAAAGGTGTTTCGTTGGACGTATATATTGGTTTAAAAAGTTTTGGGGATAAAACATAAGTGCTTCAAAGGCTTTATTCTTAAATTTTTTTGTGTGACGATAATTAAATTAAGAAAAAATGCAGGGATGGGAAAAATTTAAACAATAAAGTTCTCAGCATGTTTCATAAGTAGACATTCTTATTAACATAAAGACAGAATAATTTGGTATTTAAATGTGCTATGTTATTTAGAGTTTTTGTTTGCAAGTTGTAGAAAGTGGCAAAAAAGTAAATGGAAAGAAGAAAGAAAAAAGAAAGGAAGGAAGGAAGGAAGGAAGGAAGGAAGGAAGGAAGGAAGGAAGGAAGGAAGGAAGCAACTGGCAAAAAGCCTCATGAACACAACGGGGTGCTTGACAATGAGATAGAAAAAGAAAAGAATGAAAGTAGTTCTGAGAATCAGAAGGCAGGATCCACCACTAATGAAATGGTTATGTTCTGTCATTGATACATTTGATGAAACTTAAGGAGTCTTCAGCTATTTTTTGATGTTTGTCTCCTTTTGATGCAAACCACAACCTAGGAAGATTATTTTCAAAGGTGATGTTGGTGATTTTTTTTTCTATTGTCCTACACCCTTTGTTGTAAGACTTTGTTGCGCCTTCCTTCAAAAAATGGGATTTATCTCTTTTTTTTCTATCTTAAGGTTTAGATTGTACCTGGGTATGGTTTTGCACACCTTTAATCTCAGCACTCTGGAGGGTGGAGGCAGGCAGAACTCTGTGAGTTTAAGGTTAGCGTGGTCTACGTAGTGAGTTCCAGGACGGCTAGACCAATATATTGAGATTTTTTTTTCATAACATCCCATTCAAAATAAACAAACAAACAGAACTCTTTTAAAAATTAACAAACAAAGTAGGTGGTTTCATTAGAACATTTACATACATTCGTTGTATTGGTTGATTGTCCTTGCCTGTTCCTGTCTTCCACCTCGCACTGGGCCTCTTGTATCCTTCTTTTCTCAATACACCACATTCCACTTTCAAATAACAGGTCCTCTTACGATCTCCCCAACTCCCTTAAAACCTCTTCTTCTCTTATATGGACCCTTTTCTTGGCTCGGTTCCTCAACCACATTCAATTTCATATAAATATACTTATGTAATATTAGAAAGTAAGATCTACATGACACAAGAACACGTGGCAGTTGTCTAAGCCTAGCGTGGTTCACTTAACATAATTTCATCTCAAGACATTTCCATTTTTCTGAAAATTGCATAATTCCATTTTCTTTATGGCTGAGGACAATTCCATTGTGAATATGCACTACATAGTTATTATAAACTCATCAGCTGATGGACCTCTCAGCCGATTCCATTTTATGGTTGCTGTGAATAGAGATGTAATAAACATGGATGTACAAGTATCTTTGTGGCCTGATTTGGGTGTATATCAAGGTCTGGAATATCTTGGTCTTATAGTATTACTCTGAATTTTGTTGCGAAAACTTCATACTTATCAGCTTATACTCATTCCATGAATAAATAGGATTCCCACTTTTTATGAATATACATCCCATATTTTAAAATATTTCTTGACCTCATATTTTTCTTCTTTTGAAAACTTCCTAATTAGTTCTTTAGTCTATTTATTTTGGCAGAAGTTTTTCTTGATCTTTTGGAGTTATTTCCATATTCTAGATGCTAGACTCTTATTTTCAGTAAACTGGTGAAGATTTTTCTTTCTTTCTGTAGACTTCCCATTTGCTATGGTGACACTTTTTTTTCATGTGCATCCGTTTAAATTTTTATGTAACTTAATTTTTTAGTTTAATCTTGTGTCCTGTGCTATTAAGTTTGTATTCAGAAAGTTCTTGCCTATACCTTAAAGAGCATCTTCTGTTTTCTTCTAGTAGTTTCAGATTTAAATTAAGGTCTTTTACATTAATATAGATTTAATGTGACACGAGAGATACATATCTAAATTTACTCTTCAGAAGGTGGATATACAAGTTTTAGCACTGTTTGTTGAATAGGCTGTGTTTCTTCCACCTTTATAAAAAATAATGTAACCATGGTTGTGTGGGTTTATTTCCAGGTCCTCTATTTGGTTCCATTGGTCTAATTATCTATTTTATGCAAATCGGCTTGGATTTAGTTGTGAAACTGTCTCTGACCAGTAAGTCATTTTCAAATATAGCTCAGAGGCTAGCTAGTACATTTGCTTAGGCTCAACTTTTGTTGGGAATCTGTGTTTACAATATAGACAGTGGGAGCCAGGATTCTAGAAAAGGTACATCTAGAAAAAAAATACAGCAATCTGAATGCTAGTTTGTCTCCTGCCTCGTTGAGGTAGAGACTTTCAGGCTGTCATATTGAAGCCAAAAGAGGTCTTTTGTGCAGCAATACAGCTGATTATTGTAAAACTGATGCAACAATTGCCCATGAAAGTCTAGTTCACATTAGTAAATCAATGAATCACGCACAGTTAAAACCCTTGTTCTGTTTAAAGTTAGAAGGTTTTGAAATTGGCCCGGTGTGCAAAAAAAGAATGTAGTATTTATGAAAAAATTCTGCTGAAGCATGGAACATTTATTCTGGACATGCAACAAATTAATGATAGACTATTGTACTCAAAAGGCTGAACATAGCCACAGTAGTACTTTCTTATTGTGGTGGTATTTTCACAAGAACTTTTATTGGGCAAGCTTATTATCATATTCAATTCACAAATGAGTTGAATAACTTAGCTAAGATAATAACATCCCTAAAATTTATAGAGAAGATTCAAGTTCAGAAGGCCTGATTTTGTAAACTAGATTTAAATATTTGGCAGTGATATATTTCTTCACATGGACATATTAGTTCTTATACGATTCCACTATCATAAAAGAGGAAATCTTATATGAGAACACACAGAGATGAAGAAGTTGAGGAGAGTATCTTTTATATTATGAAAAGATAGCTCATATTAGTGTCCAACATCTTTCATGAAGTAGCTATGGCATTTTTACGCTTGTATTTATACCTATTCCTTTAATTTTATTTCCCAATTTTGATACATTATTTTAAATTTCAATCTGCATCTTCCTCTCAACTGACTTTCTAAAATTGCTAAAAAATAGCAAATAATGAGTGGTCTATATACTGTACATTAATGTCTAGATTAAAGTGTATTTTTTTCAAGGAAGAACTAAACTAAAAGAAGTAGGTATAAAACTATACACATTCTAAATCACATACTTTTGAAATTGTTGAACTCTGAATCATCAAGATCAATCATGTTTTGTAGTATTGGATAGGGACTCTACCAAAAAGAGGAGCAAGAAAGGATGTTGAAGTATTGTGATATTTTTCGCTACTAAATATCACATTTCAACTTTTTATTTCACAGGTATCTACAGAGTATCTGGATCAGTTCTGGGATCCCTAAAAATTCCTCACCTTGAATCAAGGCTCTATATGATATTCTTCTCAGATTTACATCGTTTTGAAAAACATTAGAAAAAGGACATTTGCCTCAAAAGTGTCTTTTAAAGGAATACTTTCCAATGCCTAAGAATAGCAAAGTGGTAAAGAGAGATTTAGATGATGAGGTCATTGAGTCTGTCAAGGACCTTCTGTCCAACGAAGACTCACCCGAAGAGGCGTTTAAGAAGAGTGAACTTATCGTTGATGTTCAGGAAGAGAAAGACACCGATGTCGACGATGGATCTGAGGCAGATGATGAAAGGCCTGCTTGGAACAGCAAACTGCAATACATTCTGGCTCAAGTTGGATTTTCTGTAGGTCTGGGGAATGTGTGGCGATTCCCATACCTCTGTCAGAAGAATGGTGGTGGTAAGTCATGTTTGCTTGCTTTAATTATAAATTGTTACACTGGTAAATTATTGTTCCTTATTTTGGGTAGCTCCTATTACTGCTACAGTACCATATTTTCAGAAATTTTGAGTTCCATTACCAAGCTAGGAAGACTCCTTTGTGGGAAGCAAGCCCAGCTCTGTGTTCAGATTAAGTTTCCAGAGAAACAGATTGGTGTCCTACAAATACACAGTGATTGTTCAAGGAAATACATTCTCGAACTTCTTCCCTGGATACTGTAAACATCGTTGAAGTACTAAGAGGAACTTTTCTAACATGGGCTTTGTTCTCTGCATGCCAGACTTTTGCTTTCAATAAGAATCTAAAGCCAACAGCACTGACTGAACGTGAATGTTCTCTCGGTGACTTACTACCTCTGAATTTTAAATTGTTTCGTTCTTTAACAAAAGAAGAACTAATATGTAATTTAGAATGATTATGGTCTTTAAATGTGGACTAGCACTTTTAGGACTTACGAAGGAGTTGAACCAGGTAATTACCATAATGCCATTCATTCTTTGTCCTTGGAGGTTTTACACCATCTATTCCAGGTCTGTAACATAATACTGAGGAATGCTGTCCAGCTTCAACAAGTACTTTGAAAAAGAGAATACTTTTATTTAATTTCAAACAAAAATAGTTTCACCATTATTAGCACTTTTACTATATATAGTGGGCACATAATTATCAACAGTTTAAAAAGAATAAAACTGTCATAAAACTCTTGTGAAAAAGCTGGGGATAGTATACATGCCTTCAATCCCAACACTCATGAGGACCTCTGTGAGTCTGAGACTAGCCTGGTTTACAAGGTGACTTCCTGGATAGCCAGAACTCTTACACACCGTAGTACTATATCAAATAAATAAATAAATAAATAAAAAATAAATAAAAAAATAAAAAAAACAAGAGCAGCCCAGGTAGTGGTGGTGCTTGCCTTTAATCCCAGTAATTAGAAGGCAGAGAGGCAGATCTCTGTGAGTTTGTGTCCAGACTGGCCTGCAGAGTGAGGACCCGGAAAGGCTCCAAAGCTATAGAGGAACCCTGTTTCGAGAAACCAACCAACCAAACAAACACATGCATGCATGCATCCGTCCATACACACACATATATGAGGGGAATATATATGTGTATATACATTTATATCACCAATAGTCTTCTAATTGTATAATGCATGCATGTAAAGTCTGTTAAAGTAAACATGGATAAAAGTACATACTCTGGACTGAGCTGATGACTCAGTAGGAATATCACATGGTGTTCAAACTTGAGTCCCTGAGTTTGAAGACCATCCATGGTAGCATGCATCTGTAACCCTAATGCTCATGGTAGGAAGTTCTGCAAATCCATGGGGCTTGCTATTCAACCAGTTAAACCAAATCAGTGAGTGCCAGCCTCAGTGAGAGACCTTGTCTTAAAAGACAAAGTTTATTTTGATAGACAAAATGCCTGAAATTGACCTCTGGCGTCTACATGTTTATGTCCCAAATCACACACAAACCCAAACCTACATATTCCGAATGGTACACATTTTTATCTCCAACTATTACAAGGGGTGTTTGATATTATTTCTGGCCTGTGATAGTTTGGTTGGCTAAAGCAATTATGGTTTTATTTTGCAGTAATTATAATACACACACACACACACACACACCATGTCAAATGAATGGAACTATTCATTTGCAATTTTTCCTCAGTTACTAAGATAAAATGCCAAGGCATTATGGCGATTAAAGTATACTTTAGGTGGTTAGAGAATTCCACTAGGATCACAGTAAGAGGTTTTGGAAAGCAAACTTTTGAACGAACCTGACTGAGATGTAAGAATTCAGTTTTATGTGAAGTGAGCCACTCACTCCATACTGCTCATAAAACAGTAATTCTCTAGCAAGTTGATAATATCCCATGGGAATTATTTATGGTGTCAAAGATTAGCACCTGTATATGTTCGTTTTTTTAAAAAACAAAATTTTTTTTTGCTTTTTTTGTTTGCTGCTTGCTTTTTTATTAGTTTCTCACTATTCATTTCATTTTCTAAGATTGGCAGAAATACTTACTTTGAGACATTTCACTTTCTATAACTTCCTGGACATCTTACTAAGGATAAAGGCAGACTCAGATGAAAGTTTGGTTTTATTCCTTTCAGTATGACTTCAGCCTTGATGGACAGCTATTAAAAGTTTGACTATTAGTTATTAACAAGACCTACCTTTCTACCTCTTTCTTTGATAAAAGTAATATTCAGGTTAATTTCCCTACTATTGATTTCTTGCCTACCAATGTAAATAGAGAGGAGTATTGCATATCTTGCCAAAAAAAAAAAAAAATAGGCTGCATTGGAGAGGAACAAGTACTATGTAGCAGAGTTTTCTAGAAAGCCAAGGAGTATCTTCATCAAACACAAAGCAACCAAAACTTATTCATGAATCATTTGTAGCATTTTCTAAATAACAAACAAACAAAAAACCAGGTCTAAAACACACATCGATTTGTGTAGATATTACATTTACTACACAGTGCCAAAGCTTAAAAAATCTTAGAATAAAAGGATGTCTCATATTTTGCAGTCACTCCAACAGTTCGAAGCCTGGTTCTTTCTCTTGTTTCAAGCCACGTGACCTTTTGCAGCTGCCTCATTACTTCACGCTCAGTTCCCACACATGTAAAATGAGACTGGTAATTGAAACACACTCAGTGTGTGTGTGGTGGGGGGGTGGGGGGGTGCACGCGCGTGTGTGCGTGTGTTGTGTGGTCTACACATGCATTTGTGTAGGTCCATGTTCCTGTGCACCCATGGAGGGTAGCAGAGCAGATTCAGTATCCTGCTTTGTCACTGTCTGCCGTCCTTCTTTGTGACAGGGGGTATTCATCAATGAACCCAGAGCAAGGCTGCCAGCCTAGAAATTTGAACGTATGGAGCCCAGTGTGTGGGTCATTTTATAATCATTTCAATGATATCATAGAGAAATGGATGTACATAACTTCTTTATTCCATCAATCAAAAAGGAAAGAATGATATTGCCCAGCATTTCAATTGGTTTGCAAACTGTTAATTATAATTTACATGTGATTTTGATGGAAAATGGTTATTTCCTTAACTGTGGGTGTTTTGCTACAAACATAGCAGCACATACACTTTAATAGTAGACAGATAGTGTGTTAGTTTTATTTTTTCAAACACTCTGTGCCTTCTTCCTCATAATTTTGAAAATAAAATCATATGGTTCCTGAACTAAACTTTTTATATGTGAGATATAGACAAAAATGAAGAAATGATCCTCTATTTTCAAATGAAGCTATTTTACCTTTTCAACAAAATTAAAGTAGGATTTTTATTACCCCTTTTAATCAGAATTATTTCTACCATGGAATAAAATTTTTAATTGTGACTATTATTTTATACATGTGTGTTTATGTGTGGTGCATATGTGTGTTCAGAGGTACATGCATGCAGAGGTCAGAGGATGTTTCAGGAGTTTTCTCCTTCCACTATGGTTCAGGAAATCAAATTCAACTCATAAGACTTGTGCGGAAAGGTACCATAGCTGGCCTGAGAAACTTCTTAGAGGAGTTAAATCCAAGATTCAACATTTTGGATGTTCAAACAAAATCAGCTATATTTTCTCAAAGACCTCTATTTGTATTAAAGAAAAACTCAAATATCATCTTTCATACAATGTTTAGCATCAATGTATACTCTACTATAACTTGAAAATACAGCACATTCTGTTTGTTTTTGTCCCTCTAGGTGCATATCTTCTGCCATATTTAATATTACTTCTGGTAATAGGAATTCCCCTCTTTTTTCTGGAACTTTCTGTGGGTCAAAGAATTCGGAGGGGCAGCATTGGTGTTTGGAATTACATAAGCCCTAAACTGGGCGGGATTGGATTCGCAAGCTGTGTAGTAAGTCTCCTCCCCTGACATTGTTCTTCCCTGTGCTGGTTTGAAATCATGTAACCCTCTTTTCTGTAAACTCCAAGTCTTTGTCTCTGTATAGTTCTTTATTCACATATCATAAGCTACGGGTACAGAGAGCACTATACAAAATCTTTAATGATAACTGATAGTACCTCAATCTCGAAATGGATTTTAAATATTCAACTCAGAAAATAGTTTAAAGTAAAGATAATGCTTTCAGATAAAAATATTATAAGATCAAGATCTAAATATTATTACAACTTAAAAAAGTATTAAATATTATGAAGCGAATTCTACCCTACTGTTTTAAAGGGAGTGTCAGAGGATGAGCAATAAAAATATATCCTTTTACTTTTTTGCAGGTCTGCTACTTTGTGGCTCTTTACTACAATGTCATCATTGGCTGGACGTTGTTTTACTTTTCTCAATCTTTTCAACAACCTCTTCCTTGGGACCAGTGCCCCCTGGTGAAAAATGCATCTCATACTTGTAAGACGCATGTTATGGTGTCTTCTTCTATTGAAGGATTTCAAAATTAGCAAAGGCGCAGACTTTCTTTTCTGCTTTTTAGAAACTGCCTTGTGTGAGAACAATTAAAAAATAAATAAAACAAGCAAGCAAAATGTCTGTCATGAGCCTCATAAGAGACGCCCTTTGGCTTTTGAAATGACCACTGGTCGTAGTCATTATTTTTTTTAAATCTTAGAATATAAAGAAATATTTTCTATAGAATGCAGCTCATTCATGAAGTTAAAAATGTTCTACTAGTCCCATTTAAGAAAGTAAAATAAAACACGTCAAATATTTTTATTTTATCCAGTATATACAAATGTTACCATTTAGAATTGCAATGTATGCAAATATTATTTTGTTGGCATTATAGTTAACCTTAGTTTTCATGCAAAAATTCCAAAATTCCTGCCTGGATTTTTCATTAACAGCACATACATATCACTTCATTCTGCTTTTCAGTAAAATCCCTTTGGCAGCAGCTATTACATTTGACGGTGCTGTGCTCCTGTATCTTATAATTATGGGTCTGGGAAGGGAAGTGTAAATTACTTGTTTCAATTATTTCCTTAAGAAGTTCATGTATTCCTTAGGAATTAGTAATAACTATCAAAAAGGATACCTGTTCTCGGATTTTTCAAAGTCCGCAAATTTTTGTATTTCATTGTGAACTTGACCGCTGTTTTCAGGGTAATTATTTTCTTGGAAATGAATAAGAATTGGCTCATGGATTTGCTCAGCAAAATCCAATATTACTCATTGCTCCTCATATATAATCTGAATTATTGCATCTTATTTTTTTTATTCCCACACAGATATTGAGCCAGAATGTGAAAAAAGTTCCGCCACCACCTATTACTGGTACAGGGAAGCGTTGGATATCACCAGTTCCATCTCTGAAAGTGGAGGCTTAAACTGGAAGATGACTGTCTGCCTGCTGGCTGCCTGGGTCATGGTTTGTCTGGCCATGATCAAAGGCATTCAGTCTTCTGGAAAAGTTAGTATGCTAGAATCCCTCCTGATCCGGCTAAGTACCCGTCATGGGTATTGCCAATCCATTGCAGCTATCCCTAAAATTCAGCTGATAAATTGCTTGTAAAATATCATACTAAGTATTTACCAAAAGTGATATGTTTAAAAACGTTTAAAAAAACGTATCTTAAAAAAGTAGATAAGTAATAAGCAAAGTGTTTTGTAGTGACATTTAGTATCATTTGTAGTATAAAAATTTTTTCCAGCCATATCTTTTTAAAAAACATTCAATATTTAAGTCTGTTCATTTTGCCATTAGTTCAGTATCTGATAGTTCTCTGACTACGTCACCTCCAGTCATGGAAAGTGATGGACTGACAAATTAATATTTTTGTTTCTTTGGTTAGTATCATTTCCTTCTTTCGGGTCTTTTTCTCAGAAATGATTATAAAGAATATTCAAATCATGTACTTTTGAGTGTTTCTTAAAGTTCTTGTCCTTAGGTAGGTAGAATAATGCCAACAACCAATGCAGAATAAATAAAAAATGACAGCAGTACACCTTCCAGGATAAATAAAAATGTAAATATACTGCGCTTGACAAAAACATTAGGTGCAGTGTGAATAGTCTGAATAGCTTGCTGTTTTCTTTTTTAAAATGATGCATTGTGCACATAATTTTTATCCATTCTTTTGCTTTTGAAAGCATTAGAATCCAACACTTATCACTGTCCTACCCATTCTTCAACTGCTTCATAGCAAGAATTCAGTGTTGGCTCTTCTGACTGTTCCCTAATGGTATAATTATATTAATTTATCTTTTCAAAGTGTAGCTGTACTCATGTGTCTTTTCAGTCTAATTGAGCATCATAGTTAGGAACACTGGAAGGAGTGAAAGTTGGACTACTCTACTATTATTATAAGAATAATTAATAACAATAAATCATGTGATGATGATGATAATAATAATAATAATAATGTGACATTGGTACAGATAATTTAAGCAAAGCTGCTAATAAGTAATTATACCTAGTAGACATCTCTTTGTTGTGAGACCTGTACTACTTTATCTTACTTACTCCTCAAAGCCCTAAAGTGTGGTTACAACTTTCAGATCCACTTTACTGATTAATCAAAACGGCTGAGACAGGTTATCCTGTGTAGCCCAACTTTTTTTGAACTGGAGTTCCTGCCTCCTGTGTGGTAGTCACACAGCCATGTGTCACCTTGCCTTGTTGTCTGTGCCTTTAATGGAAGAGGCTGTGGCATGGTCCACTCTATGCTGCCTCTGAGTATGTACGATATCTGTGCCCATCAAATGATGACTTAAGAACATGGGTGAGAGTGGACAGAAGTTGATCTATCGCATCTTTGCTTCCTGTTAATTCCACTTTAGTAACAATATGGATGGCATTTTATCCTGTAAATCTGTTTATCTGACCGTCACGTTCTTGTTGTGGCTGCTTCATTATTTTGCATGTGACAAAGTGAACACAATAGGTGCACAACTTAATGTCTTGAAATCTTTTGTAAATGTTTAATGCCAACTTCCTAATTTTAGACATTGTTTTGATTGAATGCACCTTGACCACGTGGGAGGTTACTGGATTTAGATTATAAATAAAGGAATAAGTTCTTAAGCCAGGTTTCATCACATGAACATAATTTCTAAGTTAGTGTTATGTGGGAGGAAGAGCCATCTCTAGTTGACTGTAGAGATTTGAAAGCTGTCACGGTTAAGTTTGCTAAGACTTTCTGAGTTTGTGTGTTATTGTCACTTAAAAAATAATTTCGTCCTTTAAAAAATATACTAGCTTCTATTATGCTATTTTTACAAATTGCAATTGTACACATGTGTGGAACATCAAGTTGATGTTACAATTTTTCTGGAAATTGTGTAATTATCAACACAAGTGAATTAGCCTATCTATCACATCACGTATTTATCAACTTATCTGATGAGACGATTTGAAATTGACTCTCATGATATCAGTGGTACTTTCCTGTTTTGTCTTCAACATCACGCAATAAAAATGTTTGAGTAGAATGGAATACAAGTTATGCAGTACATGTGATTTACTATTCCGGTAAGAGGACCTTAGGGAGAGGGTGACATTGAGGCAGAATTTGAAGCAAGACTTGGACTGTGTTGTATTGGATGCTTTAATGTAGTTGAGGGTCTCTTCTGAGTGAGCATCCTCATCCAAAAGTGATTTTAACTGTCCAGATGGGTCAAAAACTAGCTGTAAGCTAGTGGAAAAGATACGAATGCTTCAAATGACACAGTACTTAGTATTGAATAGAGAAGTGAAGACGGTGAAAGGAGAATCGATTGTAAAGGGTGAATGTGTGTGTGTTAAGCAATCAAACAAAAAGCCTCCAAATAAAGTATTCCGCAAACACTAGGTAGAAAAGAGTGGTGGAAGGCTAGCAAGTGTGCACCTTGTCATCGGGAAGTCCCAGTTGGAAGATGAGACCTCCTTCTATCGTTTTGTAAACATGCAAACACACACAGAGTGGAGAGTGATAGGTGCTACCTGGAACCTGCGTGAGTGACAAGAGAAGGATGCTGGTAATCACTCAGGCTGACTAAGCACACCTCAAAATGCAACTGCAGCACTGGGTTCTGATATCTTTTATTTTTCTGCCTCTCTATGGGGACAAGAAATTGTTGGTCTGTGAGCACAATCAACAAGGAGTTAAATAAAAAGGAGACAGCAAAACCACAAAGAACAGGACTATGCCCCAGTATAAGAGAGTAGAAGGAATAAGAGCAACAGTAAATCCTCACATTAAAAACAACAACAACAAAAAAACCCTTCTAGGACAATGCTTGGTGACAGTGAAATTAATTGCCTCTATAATAGACAGTCCAATCTCACTGGCTATGTTCACAGGCTGTATGACATCTGGTTCCAGCATCTTATGACATTTGTGACCCCAGAATAGAAGATTGAAATGATACGTTATCGACTTGCTTCCAGCTCCAGGGTGACATTTTTTTGTTAGCTTTTCTTCACTATTAGTATATTACTCTGTTAAATATGGTGTATACATTGGTTCCTTCATTCTGACAGCCAAATGAGTCATAAGTTTTAATTCTAACCCACAACAAAGTCAATAGTTCAGAATCAAGTTAACTATCCTGAATTAAGTAACTAAATTACTTAACTAAAATCAGGCCTTGAAGACAACAGTAAGATTTCTTCTGAATGTGTGTCTATAACAAATATTTTAATATAAAGAGAAAAACAATTGAGAATTATTATAAGTTTCCCAATTCTAGTAGTGAAACAATATGAAAATAGTCTACATAATTTTTTGGTTGACAAAGTCATCTTTTACTTAATATAATTGCTGTGAAAAGTAATAAAATTGCTGTAAAAAGTTTTGGTTGGCAACTCTAAGGAGGCTCTAAATTAAACAGAGGAATGTCTCTCATTTCTCTATTCTAATCACATGTACCTCTTAGACTATATCAAGCTCATCGACCCTTCCATTCATCTATGTATTTTACAAAAGTATTAAATATTTTGGTCTTTACTAGAATTTGATTTAGTTTAGCAAGGGGCAAAGTCTGGATTTAGGATCTTTCCATTCTAGTGACAGTGGCAAACCACAAATTTGTAAAATCATTCTAGGTACAAGTGTACAACACCAATATATAGAATGCGTGAGGTTTAGGTAGTTATATAAAATAAAGGAATTTCAGGTAACAATGTATATGCATCTGTGATATATGAGGCAGATTTAAATGAAATTTTTTCAGTTTCATGCAAGATTTTGCTATAAAAAAATAGCCATTGTGTAAATGTAAAGCATTTGTGTTTAAGGACAAGGTAGATGCTTTATACAGTGTGGCTTAAGATACATTCTTGTAACCCTAAGAATTTTATAAATGAATATACAGACTTTCTTTTCTTACAGAAGAATGCTGTCACGGCCTTGGCATACTTATACTGTTCATCTGTTTGATATATTGACTTTGTTTTCACAGTATAAACTGGAATATTTCTATTTTTCTTCCTTAAGAATGTATGTTAAAATCTTATTACCAAATCCACATTAGTTTATTTAAGAACACAAGTGTTTGTTGAACTAATAAAATGAAGTGGAAATAATTGGGACCACATAATTAGAAAACAATTTAAAATTCTATATAATAAAGACATTGTAGAGTGTACACAGAAGAAATCTTAACTTTCTAGGAGTTCTCTTCTAATGTACAGTATATTTGATGACTTACTGAATGCTGTGTACTAGTATATAGTTATTAGTACAGAAATTTCTGTTCTCATAAAGCCCATAGTGTAAATATCCAGGCAGATAATTGCTGTATTGCAAATGACGATGGAGTCAAAGAGAACATGCATAAGACAGCCATTGCAATCAGTCTGGATTTTAGGAGACTTGACATAGTGGGTAATTTGGGATCATGCTAAGATAGTTGAAGAAAAGCTCATAAGAAGGATAAGGATGAGAAAGAGGTCATTGCAGGCGCAGAATATGGCATGCATGAAGCCCAGAGGAAGCTAAATGCTCCTGTGTGATTCTGACATCCAGTTTTGGCTGCAAGAGATGAAGCAACAATGTGATCTGGTTGCTGATGGACTTGGAAGTGTCTGCATAAACTGGTAAAACAGTGGACTGTTATCTAGTAAACACTGTAGATTTGAAGATTTTTAACTGTTCAGCAAACAATACCATCAGATTTCTAGAAAGCTCCATACAGAAGAGCCATGGATGTGGAACCTTTGCCATTCAGAGGCAAACTGATAGGGAGCTGCTGGAGGAAAGATCAGCAGGAAATAAACTGAGAATCAGCAAAGTCCTTCACGCCACTTAAGAAGCAGCAAATTGAATTTGATTTGAGAAATGTGCAGAAAGGACTCACGCTTTTGGTAGACTCATAATTGTGGAGAGCTACAATCAAATAAGACCTAGGGGACTGGAAGATTTAAAGAAGGTTGAAGAAGGTTTCAGAGATAACCAGAAAAGTAACCTCCCCCCCCAATAAGGAAAAATTAGGAAAAGAAATTGAAAGTGGGTTATCAAAGCAGAGGCCAATCTAAGATTATTGAAAATGTTTGTTTTCACTAATGGCAACATAATTACTTTATCAAAACATAGATTTTAATATACTGACATCCTACACGTAGAACTAACCTGTCCCTGATAGCTTCAGAATGCCTAAGTATGACTTTCAGAGGATAAACTATAAAGGAAGCAAACACAGGCATCATCTTTCCATTACAAGTTCTTTAGAGTTATCGAGTCACATGCTCCCTGCCCCGAGGCCTCCTCTGCTTTGATAGTCTCCCCTTATTCTCCCAGGCTACCTTCATTTCTTCCTTATGCACATGTTTATCGTATAGCTATTCTGTTTCTGCAAATGTATTTGGAGTTCAAGATCTATTAGTGAACAGGAAAGACATGGCCTCTACCTCCACAGAGCTTCTATAACAGCAGAGCGGGCAATCCAGGAGAGAACTCAAGTCAGGTAACTTCAGCAAGGCTACATGCTGTCACAGACCAAACCAAACCTAATGGTAATATCTCCAAGGGGATGCCACCGTCTCTACTGTGGTAGGAGTCATACCCGATGGTGGATTCAGCTTGAAAATAAAAGGGCAGTCTTTTTCGGGGGTGCTCAGGAAGATTTCTGCGATATCTGTGAGTAGAGAAGAGGAGCAAGCAGGGGGTGTGCTTACAGGGAGAGGCTGAGCTTGCTGCACCTACCAGGTGGTAAGGGCATGAGGGCCGGAGCTCTGCAGAAGGAGAACATTATTAGCTTAAAGATGTGCAGGACTGAGGGAGCAATTAGCAATTGGTTCAATGCTATTAGGAACACTTAGGGTGCACTTAGCAGAAAATGGCACAGCTGGGATGCTGATCTGGAACCTGAGAGCATATTGCAGATCGTCTTGGATAACTCTGCGTGTATGACTTCAGCAACAGGATGGCCGGGACCGTTTTCTGAAAAAGAGAGGACACAAGTACAAGAGAAATTCAAAAGTTTGTTTCCACAATGGGGAAGTCTTAAACGTGTTAGACCTCCTCCTGAAGATGTCAAGAAGCTAGTTAATGCCTGGGTCAAATGACTCCTTTGGGTGATAGCAATTTGCTGAGTTCCCTACAGGCAAACAAACCAGAAATAACGGGTTAAAGGTTTTATGCTGAATGCAGTACCTAAAGATTGCCCAAGACGTTGGGAGCTTTATAGCTTCATCATGAAACATTACATAAAATACGTGTAAAACATGAACCAGGACTTATTAGGCAGTTTATGTCTGATCCTTTCTTTCCTAAATAATACTTTTAAATAGGCATTGAAAACAATCAACGCCATAAATTAATCATACACCATAGTTGTGCCCTAATTCAAGGAAAATTAAATCAGCTTTTTTCCATGTAAGCACACAATGATATATAGAGTCATTGAGCAGAATTAAATCCTGCCAGAAGAAGCAACGTAGATGGTAAACATTTTGTATTTTTTAATTCTGCACACACACATGCACATGCGCTCTCTGAATATTATCCACCTACTAAATGAGATGGCGTTCTATCATTTACAACACAGATAAAACATAAGTGTAATAATGCAGTAAGAGAAAGACAAATTCTATGTGTTTTCCTGTCTGGCTAACTAAAAAGCCTATTATATGAGGCCACAGAGTGGTCATTCTAGAGACTGGGAAGGAAAGAGATGGATAAAGAACTATTGGACAATGACACCCAAAAGGCCAAAGGAAGATCACAATTCAGAATTGGGTACCACACTGGGGTGAATATAGTTCACCATAACTTACTGTGACTCTTAAGATAATGGCAAGCTTTAAAGCTTACAACACAAAATGTTAATTACCTCTAAATTGATATTAAGCATTTTATACAAGTATTGAATTATACTGTACCCCATAAATATATACAATATGAATCGGTTTAAACAGGGTTTTATTTATGTCTCAGATAAGATCTTAAGGAATTCAGAACAATTCTCTTTAAAAATGACTTTAGAAATTGTTAACCATATTGTTCTTCACACTACAAAAAAAATAGTAGCTATCAAAGTGTAGTTATAACCGTGAGAATTATCATTCATCTGTCTCACCTATTGTCATTTTTTTTTTTTTGCTTGCAGATCATGTATTTTAGTTCTCTGTTTCCTTACGTGGTACTTGTATGCTTCCTAATCAGATCTCTCCTTTTAAATGGCTCAATTGATGGCATCCGACACATGTTTACCCCTAAGGTATGTCCCTTATTTTCCATTACGTTTATTGTAAATATGTCTCCTTAGCTATGTATAAGGGCTAATTGTTTTTAACATAAATATATTAGACTTCTAAATTATGGTATGTTGACTACTACAGACAAGTAGCTTTTCTGTATTCCCAATTCAATCCACCTCCAATTTTTAAAACATACGATTCAGGTTCTTGAGTAAGATTGTCAGTATTTAAATTAGAAAAGTCTCTACCTATGACATAGCTTATGATTTACAGTAATAAATCTGGGAAATTTTGATCTGCATTTGCTCATCGTCCTCTAGTTGAGTGGTTTATATCTAATATGTGTCATGGATTATTTGAAACATCAACAACAGTATCTTTTTGCGAGAAGAACTAGTGAAAATATTAATTTCCCCAGTATCCGCAGGTTACACGCCATCTAAAATCTCTGGGGGAGAACCCCACTGTTTGCTAGAATACTGTCTTATAGAAGATTAATGTTTTCTTGGGAATGTTTTGCTCTCTCTGGAGTCATAGATAAGGTGGTAAGCTTGATAATTTTTATAAGCACGTACACATATCAGGAAATTTTCTTTTAGTTTCAAAGAGGGTTTGAAACTCATGTTGTCAATCTACTAAGTAATGATAAGTTTATTGCTGTCTGTCTTGTTCCTGGTTACCCATAATTTACTTGCAGACTTAGTCATGCCTTGTTATTTTTAATTCAAAACAAAACAGAAATAGGTTTTGGGAGCGTCTGGGTTTTTGTGATTCAGCAACATAAAATTTCAGCTCACCGTTAGCTTGTTAAGACTCTGGGGAGGAGGTCAGAGTGTGCAGTTAAAATTGTTCCTAGCCTGGAGGTTATGTGAAGGACGATTGTGGTGCAACGGTGGGTCTGTAAGCATGGTCCTTTGAGCAGGGGCAGCAGGGATTAGCTTCTGTGGAATTCTTTGTCAGCTGCCTTGTTAGGAGGTAAAAGAAGCTGTGTTCTTTGCATGTCTGGGTCTGAGTTTGTATTCATTCTGTAGGAGCAAAAATGCTGACGGGGGCGTCTGGTTTTCTTCTTTAGTTCAAAGTGCTCTTTAATATTTGGTGTCACTGAGAACCTTCGGTGGAACACTGCTTTGGATTCATACACTTCAACCACCTTAGAATTGAAATCTGCTCCAAGCCTCACATACTTGATGACCAAAGCGATTTATATTCAGAGCGTTGAAGAAAATGTTTCTTGGGTTCAAGGCAACTAATTCTTCTGGCTTAACTTCTGAACTGTAACTACTTCCCCAGTTCACAACTGGCTGTCACACAGTTCTGGAGTTTGATTTTAGTGCTTAGTTTAGAACTGATACGAACTTTTACGTGGATCTAGCATTTAAAATTTCAGATTATAGTAACATTTTTTAATGTGTATTAGGGATCTCCTTTAAAGTGTTAATTTGTTTTCTTTCCTTTTTTTCTTCTTTTCTTGTTAGCTAACTTCCCATTTACTATTGATAAATGGTGTTTGTTTGTTCTAGGGCAGTAGTTCTCAACCTGTGGCTCTCAATGCCTTTTTCAAACTTCTATCTCTATAATTATTTGTATATTAATTCATAACAGTAGCAAAATCTGAGTTATGAACTAGCATCAAAAATACATTGTATGGTTGGGACAACATGAGAAACAGTATTAAAAGTTTGCAGTATTAGGAAGGTGGAGAACCACTGATAAAGGGTGTTGATAAAAGATTAAAATAATTATAGCATACGTTTTGTTTGTTTGTTTGTTTGAGACAGTACATCACTTTATAGTCCCTGATGGTCTGGAATTTAGTCAGGGCTGGCCTCATACATGTGGCAATCCCCCTGTTTCAACCAGGTGCTGGGATAGCAAGCATGAGCTATCATACCTGGCTATGAGTTACTTTTTTTTAATCTAAAACGGCATTTTATTTACTTTTTCATCTATTTATTTTACATCCCATCCTCAGCCTCACTGCTCCTCCCCCCCCACCTCCCATTCTCCCTTCCCAGGCCCTCCACCGCCCCTGTTCTACCCCCAATTCCCACCTCTTTCTTTGTTTCCATCCAGGAAAGGGCAAGTCTCCAGTGAACATCAATAAAACATGGCATGTTAGAAGCAATTTTTTATTGTTTACATTGTTTATGTAGGAAAGAAAGTACCTAAGCACACAAGATATCCTGAAACACCAAGTGGAAATTCACCTTGGTATTTGAAAGCATAAGTCTTTAGACACGACTCTCTCCTGCCATCTAGTGGTGACGCCATGATAGACAGCTGAGTGTATTTGAAAAAATACTCCACATATTAAATAACTGTTAAAAATATAGTTAATTTTAAAAATATCGATCTAATATTATGTCCAGTAATAGTCCTTCATAAAGTATTAAAAATTAATTAAAATTTCCCGAAGCAATACATCCCAATATTTGAGAGAGAGTGGTTTCGAATATTCCTATTTATATCTGCCTCGGACATGCAATGTGGCGATGGGCTGGTTTCTCATCTTTTCAAAGGCTCTGATAACTGATTCAACAACTGCATGGGATCCTATGAATATAAATGAGAAAAACATGCAAAGCACTTGACTGTGTTTGTCACTAGACTTTTCATGCAGTATCAATATTGAACTGTTAGACTTTGGTTGATACTGTGGCAATAATTTTGTTGCTATTCTTTCTATTGAAAAAGCAGAATGAAAAGGATACTGAGTTGCCTTGACTTGCACTTTTTTAAGTCCAGTGACTTTTGCGTCTTTTAAAATATTTATTTATTTATTATTTGTACAGTATTTTGCTTGCATGTATGATTGTAGGCCAGAAGAGGACACCACAACACATTAGAAACAGCCAAGAGTCTCCATGTAGTTGCTGGGAATTGAATTCAGAAGCTCTGGAAGAGCAACCAATGCTCTTAACGTCTGAGCCATCCCTCCGGCTGTAATCTTGCACTTTCATTAAATTTCATAGCATCCTGGTTTGATTTGGTACGATTCATATTCTTAGCTACCACCTACCTTGGCATTACTCCCAATAAAGACAATTTGACTTCAATGTGAGAGGGAAAAAATACCAGTTAAGCATTTTTATGACTGGAAATCAGCTTAAGTGCTTATTGAAGTGATTTATTTCATTAAGTTCTTGAAAGATTTGATGAGTTTTCAAAGAAGTAAGGCACAGCCCACATGGTGGAATGTGTTTGCACAGTCAGAACACTCATAATGCAATAGACCTCCCTCGATTCTCAAAGAAATGGAAAGGTATCATGGCAGCCCAGTCATTCCTATCGTGTACCAGTTACCTCCATCCTTAGATTTCCAGCAAAATTTGCGAAACCTGAGAAGGCTGGGATGTGAAGTGATTATTTCACTTTGTGTTGGTACTTGATGTATTATGCAATGAAAAAGACAAGGAAAGATATAAAATGGGAAATTATCAAAGAGTAGTAATTTCTCTGTCACCATCTGCTGTTACGATTTATCTGAAAACACTGAAAATTTCTTTTGTAAATGCAAAAGTCACCACGTAAGGGCTTGATAATATTCCCTGTTGCATTCTTAGCTACTTTTCTAGAAAAAAAATCTTAAGTGATAATTTATTTTTCTATTTTAAATTTTATTTGGGTTTATAAATATCACTTATCTGTATGAAAATGATCTAATCTCATATAGGTGAATTGCTCAGAACTAGGAATGTATTCCTGACTTCTTTAATTCTCTCTTGCTTTCAAACAGCTCGAAATGATGCTGGAGCCCAAGGTGTGGAGAGAGGCCGCCACTCAGGTCTTCTTTGCCTTAGGTCTGGGATTTGGTGGGGTCATTGCCTTCTCGAGCTACAACAAGAGAGACAATAACTGCCACTTCGATGCTGTCCTGGTGTCCTTCATCAATTTTATCACTTCTGTGCTGGCGACATTGGTGGTGTTTGCCGTCCTGGGGTTCAAAGCCAATATCGTGAATGAAAAATGCATTTCACAGTATGGACCATTCATTTCCATGTGTTTTTAATGATACAATTCTCTATGGAACCTGCATCAAAGAAACAGGGTTCTCATTCTCGCTCTGTTCTCTTTTTCAGAAATTCTGAGATGATCTTGAAATTTTTGAAAGTGGGGAACATTAGTCGGGATGTCATTCCCCATCACATTAACCTTTCAGCTGTTACTGCGGAAGATTATCATTTAGTTTATGACATCATTCAAAAAGTAAAAGAAGAGGAGTTTGCTGCTCTTCGTCTCAACTCCTGTCAAATCGAGGATGAGCTAAATAAAGTTAGTAAGCCTTGTCTGAGAAGTCAAGCAATTATCATTCAATTCAAGTATGCATCATCCAAAAACGTTCTTCAGTTAAGTGGGTTGCAAAGTGCCTAGCGATGCAGTTTCAAAATTCTCAGCTAACTCTGCATCTCATAGAGTACGTTTACTTACAAAGATTTTCATTATTTTAAAAAAGAAATCTCATCATATGCAAACCAATATCTCTTACAGAATGAAGACTAATCCTATACACATTTTGGTACAAAATTTGATGCAAAACTTGAATTTTGATTTCTGAGTTTTTGATAAATGGATGAATGAGTGAATGATAACTTTTGTTAGACAGTTGAGTTCAACACATTCTGATTATGTCTTTTTCTTAGACTATAATATATTTTAATCAGTAAGGAATTGGGGAAAAGTAATAAATGTCCTTCTATTGGTTGCTTTTATCTGTTTACATTGTCAACTAGGAAGACAGAAATTGGCCATTAATCATTTGTTCTAATATAGATGGCTATGCCTGAAACTCAACATAAATAACCCATGCTGGCAACTATGGCTGAAGCCTTAAATAATTATAACTTTGAACTCTAAGAGAAAATAAATTTCTAGTTTGTTCATCAATTCTTTTAACTGAAGTAACACAATCACCTTGTAGAGTTTTGCTGTTTTAATATTAATAACATGTTTCACTCTGTGTGTGTGTGTATGTGTGTGTGTGTGTTTGTTTATGTGTGTGTCTGTGTGTATATGTGATGGCATTCCCCCATTGGGAATGTCCAGAGAGACCATAGTTTGATAGGTGTTTTCACCAATCACTTTTCTACCTATGACCTCTCAATGAACCTGGAACCACAGGCATCTGCTTGTAATGTCTGTGTGTGCCACCAAACTCTTACCTTGTACTGCAGTTATAGAGACATGGTCACAGGCCTGACTTTTACATGGATGCTGGATAGCTATACAGATCCTCATATTTGTACAGCAAACACTTCACTCACTGACCCGTGGCTTCATTTTATCACTAAAAATTATTTTCCCCATCGATGTATATTATCTGTACATAGTACTGAGTTACATAAGAACAGTTTTGTTTAGGAGTTTTATTTCTCCCACGCACACTCCTCCTTAGAGCTCCTCCTACTGTTTGTTTCCCTAGACAATTATTGTTTATATTTTTAATTAAGGTAAAACATTACATATACATATATGTATTAATTTAATGTTTAAATATATGTGTGTGTTAGACAAAAAGATAAGGAAAACACACCTAATATGCAAAAAACTTTAACTACTAAATAATAAGAATCCAACAACACAATCAGTAAATAGGCTACTTTTTCCACTAACCACACACAGACACACACAGATACACACACACACACACACAAACATGTGCATACATACACACACACGCATAGAAAACACACATTTTAGAAACCAGACATGAGAGAAAACATGAAAGATTAGCTCTTTTGAAACTAAGTATGTTTGATATGATTATCTTCAGTTATAGCCATTTTTCTGTACAAGATGTGACCTTGTTATTTAGCACTAACACAGTTTCATAGTGTATACATGGTGCATCATGTCTACCATTCCTCTGTTGATGCTCACCTACGTGTATAGATGCTGCATCATGGGTGCCATTCCTGCCGATGCCCACCTATGTGTATATAGGCTCCATTGTATCTGCCATTCCTGCTGATGCTCACCTACTTGGTTCGATACCTAAGCTGTTGTCAACAGTACTACAATAACTAATGTTCAAGTATGACTGCGATGTGTTAACGGGGAGTTCTTTGCATAAATACCAGGCATGGTACATCTGGGTTTTATGGTATATCTACTTAATTTGGAGGAAAGCTTCATAGTTATTTCCTTATCATTAGAGTCCTCCCAGTGGTATATGAGAATTCCTTTTCTCAAGAATCTCACCAGTATTCATTGTGATTTTTTTGATGATTGCTATCAGGATTTGAGTAAAATGGATAACTAATAAAAATGTTTTAATTTTCTTTTCTGTTATGGCTAATATGTTGAACCTTTACATGTGTTTGTGGCTCATCTTTTGAGAAATTGTTGTTTATTTCTTCAGTCCATGTACTTTTCTTCTTCATTTTTAGTAGTTAAATTTCTTTGTATATTTTGGATATTAATACTCTGTCATTTGCATGGCTTGCAAACTTTCATGTATAGGCTGTCCATTCGTTTGTTTCTTTTGTTGTACAAAAGTTGTTTAATTTCATGATACCTAATTTTTCAGTTGTTAACATCATTTTGTCAGCAAATGCAGTCCTAATCAGAAAGTCTTTAAACATTCTTATAATTTCATGTGTGCTCTTAACTTTTTTCTCTAACAATTTCAGTAATTATAAAAATTACCCATTAAAACAAAGGTTTTTGGAACATTGGAATATAGGAATGTTAGATTTAGATAAGATAACTTTTTTTTGAAAGCATGTGCTTTCTTTTTTATTGCATTTTTTAGCAATAATAGATTCGTCTCTTATACAATACTCCACTTCTTCCATCTCCCCTACCACCTTGTCTCCTCCCAGACTCACTCCCCCTCCATTGCTCTTTACAAAAGAACAGCCTTCCAAGGGAGAACAACTAAGCAACACAAAATAAGATGCAATAAGATAAGGCAAAGGTCCTAATCTCAAGACTGGACAAGGCAGTACAAGAGGAATAAAAGAAGTTTTTCATAAAACTCATTTTGACTACGATTTCCCCTCTCCCAGCTCTGTCCTGCTCCACCCCATTTCCCCACCCATTCATCTCCACTCTTTTGACAGAGAGAGAGAGAGAGAGAGAGAGAGAGAGAGAGAGAGAGAGAGAAAACCCAAAAGATGCTTCATTCTGTTTTTCCCAAAAAAAATTGATTTTTCTTAAGATTGAAAATTGACTTTCTATAATTCAGTATTTTTTCTTTTGCATTCTTTTAAGCTAAAATGTTTATTCTTTCCGTTGTTTGTTTTCTTTATTCAAGTTGACTAAGCTACTTCATGGGGCAGAAATACTTGCATACATATATACCATGCTTTGTGTTTATTGCAATAAATCAGTATTTGCATTCACAAGTTTTAAAAAAATTAACAAATATAATTTATTTACTAATACTCTTTATCATTCCCAGATCTTTGAGAAAATACACAAGACCATATGGTTGTATATTCTGCTTAGCAACTCTGAACGGTATTTCAGTCTGTGGTTACTCAATACCATCCGTCTATGTCCTGGGAATGAGAACATGGTTTAAGGGATAAAAGCTTATGCTAGCATATTTCTTTGCAGGAGCTCTGACCATTACTTACTGTTGAACAGTAGCATCTCAGGCTCTTGCTCTTGGTTAATGCTGGTTGTCTATGTTCTGCAGGCTGTGCAGGGTACTGGCTTGGCTTTCATTGCCTTTACAGAAGCTATGACTCACTTTCCTGCATCTCCATTCTGGTCAGTGATGTTTTTTCTCATGCTGATAAATCTCGGACTTGGCAGTATGTTTGGAACCATTGAAGGAATCATCACTCCTGTTGTGGACACATTCAAAGTGAGGAAGGAAATACTCACTGGTGAGATTTTGCTTTGGATTGTCAGCATCAGCTGTGGCCCATTTATGTTGCTGAGAGAATAGATACTATAATTAGACTGTGTTATCTTTTGGATTGCATTAATATCAATATGACAGTAGATTATAATTTATAATAATATGATAGTAGGTCTTATTGTTTCAGTGTATTAGTTCCTTCAGAAAAACATGTGTTCAATAAAAATTACATTTACATTTTTATCTTTTCCAAAAAGTAGTTTTTATTGCTATCCTATATTTGTTACTTGTCTTCTGCTGTGGGGAAAAAAAAACATGTTCAAGGTAAGTAATTGAAGAAAGAATCTATTTGGAATTTACAGTTTCAGAGGGTTAGAGAGTCTGAAGTAGCATGCAGTTCAAGCAGTGTGTGAGACCTCACATCAGATCTACACCGAGGGAATGGAGAAAGCTATACCCAGCTTCTTCTATTTTTACTCAAGTTAAAAGGAGATTGAGACATGCAATACAGTCTTTATTTATATTAACTGTCAAAAAGGCCAAGAAAACAGCTTTAAAATGTGCAGAAAGCTACACTATCGATTACAAACGTATCCATAAGGTTTTACAATAACAAGTATACCTAAGTTTGTGAATCTGTTTCTTAGATGTTAAGCAGGAAACATTTCTTCTCAGTTGATACTTGGATAAGGAGAATACTCATCCCTACAATAGTTACTTTACTTTGCACACACAAGCTTTACTTTGCACACTCAGACAAGATAAATACATAAATATGGGTTGTTAGCGAAACTTTTGTAGTTGGATTTTTCATGTTATGCTTTAATGACAATCATATTTCAATCAAACATGATCATTCGTAAGTGTGATAATTCCATTAGGAACCACACTAGACTCATTATTGCATTAATATTTAAACACTACAGAAGCTTATTTAATGTAATAATCACCAATGAGTGTGTGTTGCCTTAAAGATCACTTTTCTATTAATAATAGAAATATGGAATGAATATTTATTTTTAAAATTGCCATACAATTGCCCCTCAGTTATTATTTGTACTTGGTAGATGGGATGCCCAAGAATTAAGGAGATGAGTTATATACTATTAAATTTAGAGATTAACCCTGTGTAACCTACTCCTAACATGTAACTTTCCGTAGTATCAGAGAAGCTATTGCCTACAACAAATTATAAAAATTGAAAACTATTGGTTGAATGTAGTGATTCACAATAAGGGAAAGTCTTGGCTTTATGTAAAGGCTAATTTTTCGTTTGTTCATTTTCTTTAGTTATCTGTTGCCTCCTAGCATTTTGTATTGGCCTGATATTTGTGCAGCGCTCTGGAAATTACTTTGTTACAATGTTTGATGATTATTCTGCTACATTGCCTCTGCTAATTGTGGTCATCTTGGAGAATATTGCTGTAAGCTTTGTTTACGGCATAGATAAGTGAGTATACTTGATTGTGTGCCACTGTTTTTCGCCTCTATTTTTGAAAAGTTTGATCAATATTTCATTTAAAAGGGAACAAAATGAACAGGGATGAATCTTCAGCAAGTCAAGTCTTTCACAGTCTTTTCTTGATTTAACAGTTTATGGGTGTGTATTCCCTCAGTGCATGAGGGTTGGGAACGGCATACAATTTAAGATTGTCTAGAATTCTAAGCCCTGGCTTAATTCTTATTCAAAGGATAACTTCCACACTTGAAAAGTATTTGGTATGTTCCTAGACCATAAGTGTCTCTGACTTGTTATTGTTTCTCACATTTTATATATGATGAGAATACAAAACCCAAAAGGCTCCTTACTCATTTAGAACCTGAACAGCAGCAGACCTGTGACTCACAGATTCCCCCCACTTCATTATAAAGCTTGTGCCCTATTTATTAGGCTGGATTATATTATGAGAAGGGAGAAAGAAAGGAGAGACAGAGACAGAGAGAGGGAGGAGTTCTTGTTTTCTAGTATCAGAAAGATTTGGGAAAATGGCCTAGTCTATTCTGAGTCGCATATACATTCACAGCACACAGACTATATATGCAATTAACTGAATTTTTTGGACGTTTAAACCCCAGTCACACACTTTCTATGTGTGAAGAATGTGTATTTGATATGAAATGAAATATCAAGTTCATCTCAATGAATAAGAAAATTTTGAAGTATTTATTCACTGTGTTTTAAATTAATTGTCTCCACCAGACACACATAGATTGAGTGATGAGAGAATTGTGTAAAGTTTACGCTAGATGAAGACTAGAGTCTCTTATGTGACATAAATAACATAATGGGTATTGAATGAATATTTAGACAGAGTAGAGACAATATTAATTTTGTCCAAATCTAAAAGTCAGGAAGAATAGGAATTGCTTGTAACGATCACGTTTCAGTTAGTGAAAGCAGCAATAACAATTTTAGAAGTAAACAAGATCTTGTGTCTTAATTCTGGATGAAAAACTTCTGTATTATCACGGACATGCATGGGAATTAAGGGGGCTAGGGAGATAGCTTAGTGAGTAAGCTCTTTCAGTTAGCACAGAGACTGAAGTTCACTTTCCTAAAACCAATGGAAAAAAATGTTGTTTGGGCATGGTGGCTTGCCCATAATCCCTCCATAAAGGAAACAGAGACTGGAAGTTTCTTGGACACTGGTTAGTCAAAAAGCATAGCGTTCAGTTAAAAAAAAACTCTGTATAAACATATTGTGATTAGGGAAGACATGTGTCTTACTTAGGGTTACTGTTGCTGTGATCAAACACCTTCACCAAGAGCAAGATGAAGAGGGAAGATTTTAATTTGGTTTACACTTCTGGATCATAGTCCAGTACTGGAGAAAGTCAGGGCAGGAACTCAAGCAGGGCTGGCACCTGGAGGCAGGGACTGACACAGAAGCCATGGGTGAATGCTGCTTCCTGGCTTGCTTCCCATGGCTTGTTCATTCCACCTTCTAATATAGAACTTAGGCCCAGCAGCCCAAGGATGGCACCATCCACCATGACGCCTCCCCTATTGGTCATTAAATGAGAAAACATCTTACAGCTGGATCTCATAGAGGCATTTCCTCCACTAAGGCTCCTTCCTCTGATTACTCTAGCTTGTTTCAAGTTGGCACAAACCCGGCTAGTATAACATGCAATGCCAATCCCCAGGGCAACATACCCACATACATACATGCATCTATGCATCCATGCATCCATCCATCCATCCATACATACATACACATGTACACACAGATATGTAAGCATACATATACAATCACACATACCTACATATACATATGTATGAAAAATGAAATGCAAATTAAGATAGCAATGAGATATCCTTAACACTCGCTGGAAGGGATAACATTTCAAACACCAACAACACAAAGTACTGATGAGAATCTAGACTAGAAGAAACCCTCAATCATCGCTGTTGGAGATGTGAGACGAAGGAGCCATTTCAGAAGACAGTTCTCCAGCTTGTGATAAAATGAAGACACTGTATCCTATGACATGTCAGGTATACAGTTTGGTATTTATTAAGAAGAAATATATTCCAGGTGAAAACTAGTACAAAAATGGTTATAGCCGCTTTTCTAAGAATGGTCAAAAATCAGAAACAGTCAAGATACCTTTGAACAGATGAATGGATAAATCTACCCACAGAGGAAAATATTGTCCAATCCTAGATAAATTCCTACCAAGTTATGAAAGCAATGTTGGAAATATAATGTGTATTGCTAAGAGACAGAAGCTGTAGCTGATAATGCTGTATCCGAATGGATTCCAACTTGTTACATCTGTTTAGATAGTATCGTGATAAGTGTTTGATAGCAACTGGGGATAGGGAAAGATTTGTAGATTGCGTCCAAGGGCTGTTTAGAACACATATAATAATAATAAATATAAATTGTTATGGTTTTGTCCAAACCCATAGAAGGCGTAATACTAATAATGAATTTGAGCTATGGGCAGTAGAGAATAGTGATATGTCGATACCAGCTTATCATTTCTAATATATATGCAACTCTGATATAGGATGTTGATAATGGGGGACATGACTCATGAGTTGGGATCAGAGATATATTGGATTTAGCATCTTTAAGTCAGCTTTGTTATGAACCAAAAATTGTTCTAAAATTAAATGTCTACGGAGAAATATTCTTTAGTGACTAACATTACACACACTTTTAAGATGAGGGATTGTTTCTTCCTGCTTGAAAAGGCACAGTGTGCTAACTGTACAGATAGAAATTTGATTTAGATCTTGATTACAAAGCCAAGTTTCTTAATGTGTTACCACATGGCAATGACTCCTAACCTTCACTGTGATAGAATCCGATACTGTTACTAGATTTCCCTCTCAATTAATAAGTTATTAACTTAGATTCACATTTAAATAGTTTATTATTTGAAGAAGGCTTGCTAGAGAATATCATTTTTTAATGATAGTGTTTCTAACCAACAACAATAAGAGAATGCCAAGAATAGCTGCATTTGTTGAATTCCTATTGCATAAGAAATAGTATGTTCTGCATATGTCATTTTTGATTTTAACAATCATCTTTCAAGTTAGATACAGTAGGTTTTGAAGAAAAGCGTATGTTAAAAGATGACAGAGTTTTCATTTGGAATAACACAGCTTTATTTCAAAGGTCACAATTTATCTAAGGTTTTGACATGGAAACTCTCATACAAGAATTTTCCAATTTAATTAGTTTTCCTTTTACATCATTGAGCGGCATTGAATACTTCCTGCTCAGCTCCAATGATTTTATGATTTCATAAGCTCAGTAACCTAATATACTTCTACCTGAATCTCCACTTATACCTTTGAAAGACGGCAGGCAATTGAGAGTAGACAATGTAAATTCAAATTTTTATCATAGCAAACAGTTTAACACAGAGAAAGAAAATATTAAATTATACTAACTCAGTGTTATTAGTAAATATGAATATGAATGTAAAAGTGGTATTCTAAAAACCTGGAAATGATGGCTACATGGTTCTTTTTTGCTTTGAGGTGTTTATTTGTTTTTGTTCTTTATTGGCTTTAAAAGTGAAATCAAAGGTTTACAGTCTTTGACAAGAGGATCCCCCCACCATGATCCTTCATGAAAGGTTAAGGATAAACCACTGTTACAGAAAAGATCTGTTGGTGTCCCTTATATGGGAGAGAGCAGTAGAAAACATGCAGCTAGGCTTATGACACCTTCTTTAATCTCTTTAGTTCACTGAAGCAAAACGTGCCATGCTGTTCTGAAGACGTGACCTAATCTCAAATGAATGTCTTGGGTCGCATCCCTCACTGCAAGGGATGCAAAGAGCTTAGAACACAGTAAGATATTCAGTGAGGGAATAAACCAGTCTCTGAAAGCAGAAACAAGCTAGTGTGCCCTTCTAAAATTAAACTCTGTTCTGAATAAAAAAAAATAATGAGGAGATAATTAATTTAGCAAGATAGACATAAGCAAGGCCAGTCTGAAATGGAAGAACAGGTAAAGGAGAGGAGGAAAAAGAAGAGGCCACAGGTCTGAGACAATACAAAGACAATCTTTGATCATTTTGCAACCATGGAGGTGTCCTCATTCTTTCCTCCTGAAAATTCGGGAAAATGAATTCCTTTTATATGTAGTCAAGTCTTAAGGAAAACAAGTCATTTCAAAAGAAAGAAAATGAGGAAATGAGTCATACAGCAAGCCATAAAAAGATAGAATTTTCACAAGATACTTAAGTCAAGTTTTAGATTTGACAGATACTTCAAAAGGATGGGATTGTAGAATTATTTTAATTTTCAAAAATATAAAAGAAGAAAAAATAGATGTAAAAGCAGAAATATTGGGATTTAAGAAAGAGTTGTGTGTAAAACCTAAATATGCTATAAATGAGGCCCCAAAATAAAAGGAACATAAAAGAAAGCAAAGTAGTTAATTATTTAAGAATGGAAAATAATTTTTATTTATTTTTTATAAAATCAAATAAATATAATGGATACATTAATATATTGAATATATCACACAAAACTATACTGAAGGAACTGACCCGAAATAAGTGACAATGTGATTATTGAAAGAGTACATGGAGTTCTTCAAAACCAGATGTAATAGCTAATACCAGGTCTCTAAGTTATTAGTTCAAGAAAATATATTGAGCATCATACTAAAACAAAACTTCATTTTGATGAATCATACTAATATTTAAAAGAAAACTCTGCTCGTTAGCAGGCATTTTTATATATTATTTGTTAACTATATATGTATATAATTGAGAAAAGAAAACGTAATTTTGAACATAGCTAAACTGTCATTCAAGTATAGTGCTTGTAGACAGTTAAAGAACATCAATGCAGGGACTAATGGGTACCTGTAAGATTCATTTTTTTATTTATCTAAGTATTTGTGATTTCACTACATTTTTTTATTTATGTGTGTGTGTGTGTGTGGAATACATATTCCAGTACACTCATGGAGGTCAGAGAACTATTTTCAAGTGTGATTCTATGTTTACACTGTGGAGTTTCTGGCTATCTAATTCTGGTCACAGGCTTGGTTGCCAGAGCCTTCATCCACTGAGTTATCATGGTGGCTCCAAGGTTCATTTTTAGTTGAATTCAAAGGGAGATGGCTATTTTTACAATGGCTCTATACGGTTGCCATGTTGATACTGAATTTCTTCCCTTATAAATTATACCACTGTAACAAGACAACCCTGCCCCCACTCTGGTCCAGCAAAATTCTAACCACGATTCTGGTTACATGGCTAGTTTATAAGCAGTAAGAAAATCAGACGTCTTTGTGAACCAGAAAATGGAGAAGGCCATAGGTAACTGACCCTGGGAAATTACAGGAGAAAGTAAAGAGACAATCCTAGGGGAGGGGCTTTAAGACTCAGATTGGACTTGAGAGATATTTGAATGAACTGCAGAATGAGAATATTCTTTCAATTATGATACTACTCAGAAAAACAAATACTGAGCATTCCACAAAATTTAAACACCCACTGGTGGTATTCTGTGATAGCATAGAATCACTATAATTTTTGTAAAATGTTGTTCAAGGTGTTTAACATAACAACAAACAAATTTTGCAATCGTATTCTAGGTCATCATCCATAGTACATTTCAATAATTGGCTAGGGGTTTGCGCTAAACATACTGATAACAGCTTCAATTTATTTTATAAGTAAATATTCATTCTCTACATCATCTTTCATTTTGACTTTGTGTGTGTTCGTATGTATGCATGTATGTAAAGGTAAGGTTGTCTGTTTATGTACCTGTGGAAGCCAGAAGATAACGTTGTATTACCATCTTCTGTTGCCTTCCATTTTAATTTTTGGAAACACTCTCTTCCTGAGTCAGGGGCCTTCTATGTCAGCTGGACTGACTGGCAAGCGAGCTCCTGTGATTTGTTAGTCTCATTTCCTTAGTGCTGAAGTTGATATGCATACTGATGTTCCTTAGCTTTCTATGTGGGTGCTGGAATTTGAACTTAAGCCCTCATGCTTGAATGGTGGGCACTTAGCTCACAGAGCTCCCACTCTATCCATTGAATCTGTGAACAGTGCAACACATACTAAAGTCTTTATATCTAGATTTCTATCAAATTAGTAAGGTAATGTCATATGATGGAGGAATAATTAAATGTTTTCTTTTTCCCAGGTTTATAGAAGACCTAACGGATATGTTAGGCTTTGCTCCAAGCAGATATTACTATTATATGTGGAAATACATTTCCCCTTTAATGCTACTAACATTGCTAATCGCTAGCATTGTGAATATGGGATTAAGTCCTCCCGGCTATAACGCATGGATTGAGGAGAAGGTAAAATGCAAAATAAAGAAGTTAGTTCTTTTTCTTTTATCTTTTTTTTTGACTTTTTAAAATTTGATTTTTTTAAATAAAAGAAAACAATTATTTTTTTCCATTATACATACCAGTCCAAGTTCCTACTCCCTCCAGTTTACTTTGAAGTGAAAATATGCCACGTTAGAAATCTTTGTATTTTATTTACTTCATCGTATTATATCAATTTATTTGTTTATTTATCTCTTTTGAAAGATTCTGCTTTGATTTGGGGTTAATAAGATTTATAATTTGTACCTCACACAGCTTTGATGTTTATACACTGTATTCTTTAGCAAATGACACTTAAAAAGCCTTCTATTTATTAAACCAGATCTCTTCATTTTATCATTGAAGAACAATGGTTTCATGGCCTTTGACTCTAGGAAGCATAGTAAAGCTCCAGGAATGTATATCTCTAGAAATTCATTAAATATAAGCTACTCGTAATGCTTAAAATACATATTCACAATATATAGTAATTTAAATAAATATTAAATCAAGGCTTTATGACAATTGTTTTCTATGAACAAATGACTATGGAAGGCGTGTTTCCAAGTAGTGCTAGCCACAATGGCTCACACATGAGATCTGTGTTGGCTGTTATAGATCAGTGTGCTGATTTTAACTCTTCTATGGTCAATAATTCTACATATTAATAACACATTCACAATGGAAACATAGACCAGCCTGTCTTATTTATCAAACCATGGGACGAGATGTTCTTTGAAGTCTAGGTTTTCAGATTTTTGAGAGGTGGTATGGTACACATAACACATGTCTGTTACTTAGTAACAGAGTACCCCCAAACTTAGTGATTGATAGTTTTCTGTAATTATTGTCAATTCTTTTGGTTTTCCTAAACTAATAGATGTGGTAGCATTTGGTTGGGAAATAACCTCTCTCTCTCTCTCTCTCTCTCTCTCTCTCTCTCTCTCTCTTTCCCTCTCTCTCTCCCCCTCTCTGTTTGCTCTCTCTTTCTCCCTCTCCCTTTTTTCCTTTGGCTTTATCTCCTCCTTGGATTCCCTCAAGTTTAAAGGGGTAAGGGCAGAATTCTAAGAAATAAAAATATTAATGATCATACTCTTTAATCATTGAGTTAGCTGAATGACACTTCCATTACTTACTGTCAGTCAGAGCAAGTGAAATAATTACGTAAGAGCCTGACTTACAAACCCAAGACCAATATAATGCTTTCATATGTGTGCATAAGAAGATGGTTGATATTTATCTTTCCTTGACTTTACCAGGCTTCAGAAGAATTTCTGAGCTACCCGGTGTGGGGGATGGTTGTCTGTTTCTCCCTGATGGCTCTTGCAATACTTCCTGTCCCTGTTGTTTTCCTTGTTCGTCGCTGCAACCTCATAGACGATAGCTCCGGGAACTTGGCCTCTGTGACCTACAAGAGAGGAAGAGTCCTGAAAGAGCCTGTGAACTTGGAAGGAGATGATGCAAGTCTCATTCACGGCAAGATACCAAGCGAAATGTCGTCGCCTAGTTTTGGTAAAAATATCTATCGAAAGCAAAGTGGTTCCCCGACACTGGACACTGCTCCCAATGGACGCTATGGGATTGGGTATTTGATGGCAGACATGCCAGATATGCCAGAGTCAGACTTGTAGCTGAAATGGCAGCAGCTGCCCGTGGTTCATTTTTATCAATGGATGTTGGTTCTACTATGAGAAGCATTGGGCTTCACTTGTCAGAAGGTGATCTCAGGTGTCCATGGCTGTGATCTTTAATCCCAACAGTATAAGGCAGTCTAAGAAGCGCATTCCTCAGTTTACATTCGCACCGAAATGATTAAAAACAAAGCTTACAGTGACTGAGGTCATATTTTGCCAGGATTTTTTTTAAGAAAATACTTTTGGCATATTTTCAAGTATTTCTATCTCTTTAAAAGAAAACCAGGTGTTACCTCAGTTTCTAATGATTTCTGGATTTAATATGATTGGCAATTTTAAAATCATTGGTATATCTTTCAATTTCTAATTTTGCCTTCAGGGCAAGTAAATCCCAGTATTACCAAGGACAGTTGTGAGAGTCCGTGCCTCTCTGCATAATTCCATGAATGTGTTCTGTAGATAGGCTCTACTTATTTAGGCACTTAATTGAAGAAGACTGCGAAGTATTTTCTTATATGACAGCCATATAGAACAACAGTAACAAAGAGTGAGTGAGAAGGCACTAACGCTGTATGAAATGTTAGATTCATAGGTGACAGAGGATCACGTGATGGCTGTATATATTGTGTAAAATAGGTGAGTGAAAATGATCTAAGTGTGAGTTGCTCCACACTCTCTAGAATTATGCAGACTCTGCATTTTTTTATGCCGTGTGCCTAAAAACCTACTTAATATTTATTGTGGTTTCGAGATCACTTATAGTATATTTATATAATATACTTACAATGTATAGAGATGCATATTGGGACTCTAAGCGCTGATTTGAAAACTTGAAGCAAGATAGTATTTGATTTCATATATTTCTGTTTTGCTTCATTTTATGCAAATATAAATCCTTTTTTAAGTGGTTGTTAAAACCGTATGGCATTACATTTTAACCTACAAATAAACGAAGTTTAAACAATGGCATTTGTTTTCCTTGCTGATTTTCCTTGAATCACCTGAACAGGATTGTGCCTCTTGCAATTCGTGAGCAAGGTCATCTTGCATTTCAGCCAGCACTTTAGCATTTTGTAGTAATCATCACATTTCCAGTGGGATCAACAAAGTCACAGGGCTGCCACCACTTTACAGACAAATAAACAATCGAGTTTAATGATTGAAGGGTGGCTCTCATGCAGTCTCAAAGTATGGAAAAAGGCATATCATTTCCAACAAACTGTGCATAGAGTTGAACGTTTGCTTCATATTTTTTATTGTATGACATTAGCTAAACAGTCAGAAACAAAATAGAATAACCTGAATATACAATGCAGTTTTATTAATTATAGTCAGTTTCCTTTCCTATCTCCTCTTTCTTCTTTCCTTACTGGATGTTAAACCTATGTGCGTATTGCACAATTAAGGCAAGTGCTCTACCACTGAGTTATACGCATGCCCAGGCCTGCCCTGTTAATGCCTATGATTTATAAGAGCCCTCTACATTTATTTTTCATTTCTAATCATTTCCATAAGTGCATGTCTATTTTTCTACATTTCTTCTTCTACTCTGTTGCTGGAAATTCATTGTTCTATGCTCAGTTTGCAATTACAATGTTTGTTTTAAAAAGAAAAAAGCTCACACATAAATGAAAACATATAATATTTGACTATCTGCTTCTGAATCTTCTCATTTCTTTGGTTTCTTCAGTGTTGTCCCAGATGACAGTCTCTCCCCCCTCCTTCTCTCTCTCTGTCTCTGCTAAATAATATTTAGATTTTATATATAACACTGCTTTTATATATAAAAGTGGTTACTTCTTTTCCTGCTGGTGCTTTGGTGGACACATATGTTGCTTCCATCCCTTACAATTTTTTGCGTGGTGTTGCAGCAGAAAGAGCTCTGTGAGGGGCTGATTTCATTTCTCTTCCGGCAATGTTTATAGTTTGGGATCCTACCTTATACAGTAAAACAGATCTCCATCCCTTATTCTCAAACTAATTAAGAATCATGCAGGAAGTGTGTTTTTGACTTGGAGAACAATTTAAATTCATTCTCAGACTCCTGCTTGCTGCCCAAGGAACATTGGTCTAGAGGTTAGAGCAAAGTGAAGTGTCCTTTCATTTTGAATTATCATGCTGTCAATTCTTCAGCTGTTCTTTCAGGTAGTTGTTGCCCTGATTTCAGCGTATGTTGAATAAACATCTGCAAGGTACGGTGGTTTTTGTCTGTTCTGCCAGTACTCAGAAGATGAGGCAGGGAATGGCTGCATGTTCAAGTTCAACATAATCCACAAAGTGCGATGTAAGAAGGCCTGTGCTAAAAAGATAACCTGACAATATATAAATAAGTAAATAAAGATCAGCATTACTCCTTATAAATAACGAGTCAATGTGCCATGACAATTATAATTAAAATATAGATAATATCACATTTCCTTATTAATTCCCTATTCTTAATTCCCTTTTCGTATATTAATTGCCTGTGAGAACTTTATCTTTTCTTTCCCCAGCTACTTTGGTATTTATCAACAATAACAACAAAAGTTAATAATTGGAGATAATTGTTCCCTAAAACTAAAATTTGAATCAATTTACTTATTTCTTCTAACTCTTCAAGGCTTGTCCTAAATTTACATCTAGGATTGTCATGGCTAAAGGATGTCTCTTGGCAGTTAGTTACAAAACAGAATGAAAAATGATAGACTTCTTATCACAGTACTGAGAACACAGTACTGAGGATAAAATGGCTGAGGGAAGAAAGACCCTCATTGCTGGGGTCAGGGTCTCAGTTTAGGAGGCAGTATCATAATTAGGTGACGGAACATGGTTACATGAAGATGTATTTGCATCTCTATACCTTGGTGATGTTTACAATATCATTTACTTATCGTTAGATTTCTTTTACTCCTTCTGTTTTGTTATGGGAAACCAATGAATTTATTGGACTTGCTTATAGAGCTATGGGTGAGGGGTTGTTTATTGGAACATGCATACACTGTACCAACTTCACTGCCGCAAGACCTACAGGATCATGACTAGCAACATGGAAGTTACATCATGCAGTTGCCGTTCTATCGGCTTTTCACTTTCTGTTCACTCTAGTTTCACTAATGATTACGGGCAGTGGGAGATGCTCAGGAGGAGGTATTAGCTACAGACATTAGACCCTCTCCTTTTACTTCTAGGAAGCGATAACAAACTTTCCAGCTTGCACTTGGTTTTATGGTAAGAAAGATAAGAATGTGCTGATGAGATGTCTCAGTGGGTTGACACCAACTCTGACATCATGAATTTGATCCGCAGAACCCACAGGGTAGGGAGATAGGCCTCCAGCTGTATGCTTTCACATCCCCCTCAGACACAAATAATTATTTTCAAAAGTTATCTTAAATTTTTTAATCTTATTTTTTATTGTTACTTTTTTACTATATATTTTTGCCTCTTTTTACTGTCTACATTCTTTGAATATATACTTTCGCTTTCAGTTTAGTGTTTGTATGGGTTACCTGAGTGTACAAATGTACATAGGGTCTCTGTATATCTTCAGCTCCTTTCCTTATTTTTGTTGTATTAATATCACGTTAGTTTTTCTTCTATCTCGTGATATTGTGTTTATTTTATTATTCTCTTTTAGAAGCCTGCTTCTTTTCTAATGAGAGTCAGATTCAGATGGGAAGGGAAAAGAGGAGCAAATGAGAAGAGATAGTTGTCAGGATACATTATATGAAAAAATGTTTTAAATAAAAGAAAATCATAAAAACAAAACGACAAAATCACATTGTTTCTCTATAGCCAACCCCCAAAAAACACTCAGAGAAAGTACGACAGACATACTCTCATTTACAACAGTCTCAGAGAAATGGAGATACCCAGGAACAAATCCAAACAGGGAAGCAAACATTCTCTACAATGAATACATTAAATCTCTAAAGAAGTTGAGTGAGTCACTAGAAGATGCGATAGGAAATCTTTCCATGTTCATGGATGAATAGAATTAATATAAAGAAAATGATCCAAAATCATTGTGCAGATTTAATACAGTCAAAATCCCCATGACTTTCTTCATGAGAACATGTTTGGATGGGATATTTTCAATCACTTTGCTACCTTGGTCTCAGCTCAGCAGCACCCTTCTCCAAAGTGTGTGGACCCATTTCTCTATTTAAAATGATGGGTTACCTTTTACCCACAAATGTACTTCTCAATTCCACAGACCTTTGTTTGCCATATTCTGCCAGATATACAGAACAAACAAAAGATAAAGCAGCCTGTCTTGCTGAGATTAGAATTTCCACTTTTAAACCAATATATTTTATTCCTCCCTCATAAAATCACGTTTTTCTTCATTAAAAATGCATTGAGGGGTCCTGACTTCTAGCAGAGGGCCATCGGAGGGGTGAGTTTGCTTCTGGCCGTGGCAGGGTCCCAGTGAGGAGGGGCTTGGGCATTCCCCGACCCCATAGACGCCCAGGGCGCCCTGCAGTGCTGGCTACCCCCTCCCGCCTGCCATCCCAGCTCCCATTCAGGTACGAATTCCTATATTTCTCCCTTCCCCCTGGGGTCATAAAATTTCCCCAGCTCAGCTGCCTTGCGAGCTGGGCCTGGGCTGTAGGCGCATCCTGGCTGGAGGCAGTTCCTGGGTCTTAAAGGCCTCCCTGAGGACAGGTGGACCAGGTGCCAGCTCAGCCACATTCCTGACCAGCAGGGGCCCTGACTTCTAGCAGAGGGCCATAGGAGGGGTGAGTTTGCTTCAGGCCCGTGGCAGGGTCCCGGTGAAGAGGAGCTTGGGCGTTCCCCGACCCCATAGACACCCAGGTCACCCTGCAGTACTGGCTCCCCCTTCCCGCCTGCCATCCCAGCTCCAATCCAGGTACGAATTCCTATATTTCTCCCTTCCCCCTGGGGCCATAAAATTTCCCCAGCTCAGCTGCCTTGCAAGCTGAGCCTGCATTGTAAGCACATCCCGGAAAGAGGGAGTGCCTGTGCTTCAATAGCCTGCCTGAGGAAAGGTGGGCATTCTGTCAGTGAAGTACCTGCCCAAGAAGGGAACCTGACTCAGTAACAGAAGTTCCAATAGAGAACATTTGAAGTAAGAGATGGACAGACGCCAAGGCAAGACCCCATCCAACAATCTGAAAAACAACATGAAAACACCAGATCCCAAGGACCCTACAATAGAAGGCCTTGAACACCTTAACCCAGAAGAAGTGGAAAAAAGTGCCATTATGAAAGCAATAGAGTCCCTTAAACAGGATATGAATAACTCCCTTAAAGAATTGGATGAGAAATATAACAAAAAGTTTGAAGAAATGAGTATAGAAATAGATGAGAAATATAACAAAAAGTATGAAAAAGTAAGTAAATCCGTGAATGAGACCCTGAGAAACCAAGAAAAAACAATCAAACAAGTAAAGGAAACAGTTCAAGAATTGAAAACTGAAATGGAGGCAATGAAGAAAACACAAACCGAGAACGGGCTGGATATGGAAAACCTAGGTAAACGAACGGAGACTACAGAATCAAGCATAAAAAATAGAATACAACAGATAGAAGAACGAATCTCAGATTCTGAAGATACCATAGATAAAATGAATGCTCTGATCAAAGAAAACAGCAAATCCAACAAATTCTCTTCACAAAACATTCAGGAAATCTGGGACACAATAAAAAAAACCAAATCTAAGAACAATAGGGATTGAAGAAGGAGAAGAACTGCAGATCAAAGGCCCTGAAAATATATTCAACAAAATTATAGAAAACTTTCCCAACCTAAAGAACGATATTCCTATGAAGGTTCAAGAAGCATACAGAACACCGAATAGAATGGATCAGAAAAAAACATCCCCTCACTGTATAATAATCAAAACACAAAACATACAGATTAAAGAAAAAATTTTAAGAGCTGCAAAGGAAAAAGGTCAAGTAACTTATAAAGGTAAACCTATCAGGCTTACACCGGACTTCTCTATAGAAACCATGAAAGCCAG